CAAGCACAAAATCAAAATTTAGGGCTAGGGTTTTCGAAAAATTTGAAAATTAGCAATAGGGTTCGAAATTTTCGAACATATTAGGGCAAAAATTTTGTCCTCTCTAGGCTATTTTGAGCAACATTTAATCACATTTAATCAATTCTAAACGTTAAATCACATTTAAAATAATAATTGACCCATAATTAAATTAATTCTCCCTCTTAATTGATTATAAAATTATGAATACGGACTTCAAAATAATCGTATTATTATGATCAAACGTGTTCATGCAAGAGGCTAACTGATACCACTATAAGGATTTAGGTACTCTCAGCGGAATTTCATGAATCTCATTCATACGCACCTAAAATGGGATCACATGCACAACACACAAGAATCACATAATTATGCCTTTGAAGCGTGATTTCCACGTAACAATTGATTGACAATTAGGGAGAGAATAGAGCCCCAAGCGTTGCTCCTCTACATAGTCCACGGGATTCGAACGATCCGTCCACCAACACTATATTGGTCGGATGAAGAAGGAAAGACCACGATCACCACCGTTACGGACAACCGGCCACCACCACAAACCACCACCACCATGTACACATCACCGGCGCACAAGTAGAGGGATGGACGAGAGTGAGAGAGAGTTTGAGAGGGGTTGGATTATGTTTGCTAATTAGGGTTTGATCTAATGATCACTAAATCTTGTATGTCAACCCTAGGAACCTAGTCTATTTATAATCCTATTATAATTAGACTAGGAAGCAAAGACCAAAACCCCTTATGACTCCTCATATGGCCGACCACCTAGAGGGATGAGGCCCAACATGGGCCTCTTCCTCTTATGCTCAATCTAGCCCCTTTGTGTGACCTTATAGGATCCGTTCAATTGAGCTTTGAACTATTTTACTTGCCCAAAGGTCGTAAGTACCTCTAGATATGATAAAATGATGATCCAAAAGAACGAACTTAATTATCTCCATAATTTGATCCATTATATATTTAGTAATTGCAATTGACGAAGACATAAAACCTTCACAATGACACAACATAAACAATAACGTGTTGTGCCTGGCCTACCCGACCGTATCCATGTTGTGCTATGTGTTTTCATGTCACCTTGGGATCAATGCCGTCTTTACTTGTATTAACAAGAAAGCATTAATGGAAATACTATGGCCACATATATAGAAGATAATAAAGACTAATGGAATAATTACGTGTAGGCATGTTTAACTAAGTTTTTGTATGCAAAATCAACGAAATTAAATTGATGGGAATTGAAGTCAACATTGTTATGAAGCTAGCTTAGTGTACTGTCTTGATTTAATTTGGTCAGTGGTTATGAGATGAGCATGGATTTGATTTTAAATTTTTTGTGGAATTGCATGATCAATTGAATTATTAAGAGAATTGTAAAATTCCCCCCGAAAATGTTCGATCATTTAAATACATAATTATTACGGAGTAATGTTAATTATTACGAGTAATTATGTAAAACGTAGGAAATAAAAAGAAAAAAAAAACTTTTACGTGGAGCATATACTCCATTTGTACTACTCCATATAATAATTTTATTCATCAACTTCATTATTCAATTCAGAGTATCTTATACAAGTACACCGTAAATATATGTTATTTTTTAAAACGTATTGCACGAGCTAAAAAGATAGTTATTACCACGTACTTTGTATATCTTTGCGATTAGATCTTACAAATACGACCTAGCAATTTGACCATTACCCCCCTTGGGGTAAAACCCACCAGGAATACGCTCATCGCCAGTATCATACAAAATCCTAAGTATTTCTTCAGGGGATCGAGCATAGGAAATTGAGTCAGCGTTCGCCGATAAGATGTTTGTGGAAGAGCTGCCCTGAGCTCCAACCTCCGGTAGGACTATGACGCCTTCGTCTTTGACGCCGCACTTGCCTAGGTTGTTCCTTAGAGTTGAGATGCGATTTGTAAATTCTGCCACGGTAAAATTATATGGTTGTACTCTGTTCCTTTGTCTCTCGTATAGGTACGTCCTAACCACAGCATCTTGTCCACTTTCAACTCCCAAAAGTCCTGCTAGGAGCTGCTTAACAATTAATTTTAATCAAAGAAACCATTAAGAGTTGAATTCAAAGATAATGTCTTCACAAGTCTAACATGTTCAAAATAAGATTAAGTTAAAAAAAATATATGGCTTAATAAGTATAAACAAAAATACAAAAATACAAAAAAAAAAAAAAAAAAAAAAAAAGCAAAAACTTTTGTATACACCCCCTTTACAAAAGTATTAGTGTATATCGAATGGTTTTTGTGTAGGCTTTATTTTCAGCCAATTTAAAATAACTTTTCACCTTACATTGGGTAATTTTAAACCCAATATTATTTTAATATGTAAATGGACAATATTTTATAAAAGTAATGTAATTACGTTTTAATGAAGGAAAAAACAAAATAATCATACGCAAATAAGCAAAATAAAGAAAACAATTCCTCAAAAAAAAAAAAAAAAAAAAAAAAAAAAAAAAAAAAAAAAAAACAATTATCTTACCCTTCGGGAAGAATAACCTTTGATCTGTGAGTTAGCACCAACATAACCATTAAGTCCCAAGTAAGGAATAATGTATGAAGCCAACATGTAGCTGAGATTATCTCTGTATGGATCAAATGGAGGCTCGAGATCTCTTTCAAATGCCTTATTTACGATTTTTGCAAAATTTTCTGGACTTAAATCCATCAATGGCCTTGGGAGTCCTCCAACTGTCTTTTTTATGATCCTAATAATAATACAAGATAATGTTAGATGTTAAAGCATTAATCCATTTAAAATATTACAATTTAGGTCAATACTCGTGTGATATGATGCGCAAATATATGATAAGTAATTAGCTAATTGGTTAATTCGAATCCTTTACAGATATGGTTATACTTGTAATAGCTATTTGAGACGTACAATACGTGAATTAAATATGATAACTTGCTATTATAAGACATGAGAAATGACTTGTGATTAGTATGAAGGGTGCAATTTGAAAACCTCAAGTGTCCAATTTCTTCATAAGCAAATTCTTTGATAATATTTTCAGTTAAGTTGTTAAGGTTAGCCTTTCGGACCCCGATTGGAGGTCGGACCACCAAGGGTTAGCTCAGGGGCAACCTCGTCAAGGCCAAACCCTAGTGCACCCCACAAGAAGAAATCAGCTTCCAAATGCTCAATATTTTGTGCAAATTGCAACAAATTAATATCAATATTGTAAACCGGAAGCACTCCAGGTGGATTTGGTGATCGACAATTCGGATCATTACTATCATAAACCGGTTTTAAAAAGCTTAGAACATCATTTGGATCGTAGGGATTTAAATCAATACTCGGGTATACTAATCTAATCGACCCTAGGAAAATTAGGATCACTAATAACATTTGTGAGAATGATAATGAAGGTAATTTGGACACAATAATGCTCATTTTAGCACGATGAATTGAAAGATTTTGTGTTTGTTTTAGAAGGGACTTTGAGATGTTTCTGTCTGTAAAATTCAAGTAGCTTGTATATATACTAGTCTTGTATCTACCAAATAAATGGGTCCTAAGAGGGTCATTTTACTAACATTCCTGGTAAATATACGTAATAGTATCCAACTTTATTCTAAAGATTAAGCAACCTTTATCAGTACTCTGTACAATTGTTTTGTGGAAGATAATACGATCAAGATTACATCTTGATAGTTGATAGGATCGATTTATTCAATCATGTGCATTGTGCATTTACTATCTTTGACAAGTTTATTTATGTACGTACTTTGGGCCTCAAGGTGATTTTGTTGTTATGCTTCTTTCGTTCCTCTAATATTGCACAATGTTGAGTTTACAATGCTTCCTAAAACACAACTTTAGTCATTAATATTTTTAATTCTCGATATATATATAAAAGTTATGAAAAGTTGATGTATAAATGCATAAATCGACATGAATTTAACAAGATCCTCCTTAAAGTATAAATCACAATGAAAGTAATATTCAATTCAAACATGACATTATTTATTTTCAGATCTGGGGATATATGAATATGATATGATAGTACGGGTTAGAAGAATTTTTAATTCACTACAAGAAAATTGATTTTTGGCAATAAGTTTACGCAACAAAGAAAAAATTTGAGCTAGCTAACTAAGCTAGGTCCGTCCCATGGCCCAAACCCATGTGCCACCAAGCTAACTCATGCATACGTACTTGAACCAAAATTTACCTTTTTAACGTGGTTTTTTTTTTTTTTTTTTTTTTGTGCGTGTTTTGCCGGAATTTTCAATAAATTAAAAAATGTAGCCCAAGCATTGCTCACGTACTGCGCAAAATTCACAATAACTTGTTGTGCATGCCCCGTATCCATGTTGACCAATGCCATCTTTACTTTAATGCTGGAAATACGTACTACAGCCACAGAGAAGATGATAAATATTTATGGAATGGTGTAATTATGTCGTGTAGGAAAGTTAAACAAAATAATTGTATGCAAAATCAACTATCTAATTCAATGGGACGAAATCAACTTTTTTACGAATTGAAGATAGTGGTTTTGTCTTTGATTTAATTCGTATTTGGCCATTATATTGGTGATGACGACTGTGTTGAGAATTGAGATGATGAGCGTGGATTTGATTTGTGGAATTGCATGATTGACGAATTAAAATTATTGTGACGTTCGTGTTTGAAATTCTAACTAAGGCTATGCATGCATAACCATATCAATAATGTATATTATGATCGACTTTTTGCAAAAATATAGATTAGTTTTGACTACATTTTCTTTTCATACATAAACACTACTTATGTTAATTATAATGTAAAATTTTGTTAGATTAATCAAAATAAATATTTCTAAAGATTAAATTTTTATCATTTCTAAGGTTAAAATTGTGCGCTGATAATGCGAAAATCATATTATTATTACATGTAATAAGAAATGGATGGAGAATATAGTATGACGCAAAGGAAGACTTACTAGTTACTACTAGTGTTCATAATGAAGCATATATCTCTAGTGTTTTTACAAACTTATTGAAGAACATAAATAAACTAGCTAGTATTGGTCTTTAAGATACATTCTAGCAATTTCACCATTAGCTCCCTTAGGGTAAAACCCACCAGGGTGGTGCTCATTGCCAGTTTCGTACAAGACTCTAAGTATTTCAGCAGGTGTTCGCGCATAGGAAAGCGAGTCTTGGTTCGCTGATAGCACATTGGTGCTAGTCCGACCCTCAGCCCCAAGCTCGGGTGGGACAACGACACCTTCGTCTTTGATGCCACACATGCCCAATTTGTTCCTTAGAATTGAAATACGATTTGTGAATTCTGCCACGGTGAAGTTGTATGGGTGCACTAGTTTCATTCGTCTTTCGTATAAGTACATCCTAATTACTGCATCTTGGCCTGCTTCATTTCCGAGTAATCCTGATAAGAGCTGCATAAAAATCAATTCAATATAAAATCAAATTGGAACATACATTGTAGACTCTTATGCTTAAGTTGCCAACTATATATGTACACAAAATTTGTGATAGGTATGGTATAAATTTGGATGGTCTAGATTGGACTTCGGCAAGTCAAATCTAGTCCGATTTATGTTTGGACTTTTTTGTTGAAAATTTAAGCCCAAATCGAATGTAATCCTATCCAATCGGACAATTTGATACAAATAAATTTTAACCCATGGTTTACACACAAGAATTGAATCAAATCCCGATGTTCAGCTTTTAAGTGTTGGTTATTTGACTAAATGGGTTATGTATTTCTATAGCAACTACTATATGATAAGAAAGGTAGGTTCTTATACTAGTCATAGTTAATTTGTCACAATCCACAAATTAAATCAAATTCTAAACACGTTTTTAAATGGCCAAATGATCAGTTGCATAACGTGACTGATAACTATTAATTCTACTGGACTATCGTGCTAAAAGTCTATGAAAAGGGTAGTTACTAGTTAGCCAATTAATCGACATTAGATACTGTACTCAAATTTTAATTAAATTCGGAAAATTAATAATGGAAAGATCAAGTATGATGTACTATTGGAAATTAAATAAGAAAACAACTCAAATAATTATAAAATATTTCCAAAAACGGAGTGAGCTAGTATGATGTACTATTTCCAAAAACGGAGTGAGCAAGCAAAATTAAATAAGAAAACAACTCAAATAATTATAAAATAATTAAGCTAATACTAGCTCACTCCGTTTTTGGAAATATAATATTTGATTTGTGAACAGTGTAAAAAATCGAAGTGGAACAACTAAAAAAACAGACAGCGTGTTTCATACCCTTTTAGTAACATAGCCTTTGATCTGCGGATTAGCACCAACGTAGCCGGTAAGTCCCATGTAAGGAATAATATATGAAGCCAACATGTAGCTAAGACTATCTCTGTATGGATCAAATGGTGGCTTAAGATCACTTTCAAATGCTTGATTTACAACCCTTGCAAAATTTTGTTGACTTAAATCCATTAATGGCCTGGGGATGCCTCCAACTGTCCTTTTTAAGGCCCTAATTATAGAAAATTACCAAAAAAAAAGGGAGGAAATTAATTAACATAATAATTACTTATTAGAAGTTAGTAGGGTTCGTTATATCTATACGTATCTATTAAATAGCGTTAAGTTCCTAATACAAGATATGTGTCACGTGGCAACCTTCACATGTATTAGAAGTATGCCACGTCACCATAATATGCCACATCATCTATTTTACTATAAACATGTTTCAATGGTAATAAAAATGTTTATCACAAGGGTTGAACACAAGACCATTAACAAATGAATTAATGTTCTTGCCAGCTTTTATGTTTTAATTATGCTTCATATTCAATTACAGCACACTAAATGCTTTAATTTGTACAAAACATCAATTTGAAAGCGTTTATTTAGTTTCAATAGTTATTATTGTTTACTTTTTTTAATTTTTTTATTTTTTGTAATTATATAGTTTATGATTTTATGGTTCAAAATATTCAAATAATATTTATTGATATTCAAAGTAAAACAAGGTTCATCCCGAGCCACACACTAGTATATTTTGATTAATGAATAATTAAATAGGACATAAAGCATAATTTGCAAACCTCAAGTGTCCAACTTCCTCAAAGCCAAATTCTGTGATAATACCCTCAGTGAAGTTGTCAAGGTTGGCCTTCCGAACTCCAATGGGAGGCGGACCGCCAAGAGTTAATTGCGGGGCAACCTTGTCAAGGCCGTACCCTAGGGCACCCCACAAGAAAAACTCAGCTTCCAAATGCTCTATATTTTGAGCAAACTGCAATTGCATCATATCAACTTTGTAAATAGGCAACACAAAAGGTGGGATTGGTGGTTGGCAAGTAGGGTTACTCGGGTTGTTACTATCATAAAATGGATCGTAAAGGCCTAGATCATCACCCGAGGTACTGTAAGGGTCCGAATCAACACCCGAGTACACAGAACTGATTGCCCCTAAGAGAGTTATAATTACGATTAACATTTGAAAACATGATAATGAAAAAGATTTGTATAAAAGAAAGTTCATTTCAAAGGAAAGATAAGAAAATTTTGGTTTGCTTTGATTTGTGAGATTTAAGTAAGTACGGAGTAACTCATATATATACAAGACGAATGAGATCATAATAATCATTTACATTATTGTTGTTTAGACAACGATGCTTAGCTTACATTGTTTTTACTAACTAAAACGTTACTTGTGGGATTAATCGACCTTAATTGTGTTTGTATGTATGTGGGATTATGGGACATTATGTTATGGTTATATGATAATGACAGATTGATTGTAGAAGAGTTTTCATGATAAATTGAACGGTTGATTGTTTTAATCAATTTAATAAATTAAGTAATGAATGACTTTAATTACACTTCTACTCTAGGGTTAGTCCAAAGCTAATAGTTATTTCAATCTTAATTAATTAGCAACATTTGATCTTCCCAAAATAATTACTCCCTCCGTTTATATTTGTTAGTCCCATATACTATTTTGGGCGTTTTAAAAAAATCTACCCATATTGAATGTATTCCATTTTTAACTTAGTATTTATTTCCTATTTTATACATATTAAATTCTGATGAAAATTTTACAGTTTTCGTTTGAAATATGACTACCATAATGTTTTAATGATTATATAGTTCATAATTGACATATTTTTTCCAAATAATTAATTATATAACTTTATTAATGGTATTAAATAGTATTATCAACATTTTTTTATTTATCAAATTTTTTGTTTTATTTATGTAAATTTTATTCTTATTTTATAGTTTCTCAAAAAATATTTATTTTATGTTGGATTAAATTTTTTTAATAATTATATCTACATTGTAGATATTATAAGACTAATTGTGGCCCTTTTATAACGTGAAAAATGAATCGATCATATTATATATCATTAAAATAATATAGTAGTCATTTTTCAAACGACCGCTGTAAAATCATCCAATTCTGATTGCTAAAATAAATTGATTATTGATTGATGGCATGCCTCTAAGTAAGGAAATCCCTCCCTTAAATTATGCAATTATGGCTGTTGCTATCCCAAAAAAATCAAAAAATTTAAATAAGCCAAAACTAATTATGAACTATTTTTGTACTTTAATGTTAGATTCTAAATATTCTTCAATTCTTTTCGTATTTTATGTGATTAATTCCATATGGGTCTATCATATCATTCATATGGAAACGGAGGGAGTAGCATTTTTCTATAACTAGTATTGACTCAAGCTCCAAAATTAATACTCACTCTATTTCAAAATAAATGCCCCATTTTGACTGAGCAAATACGCCAATGTAAAATTTTGACCACAGTCTTAATTATCAATAAGTAAAAATTATATATTTAAAAAAATATTTAAAAGCTATACATTGAAATGATTCCAATAAGTAATCAAGACTATTTTTTTTATGTATAAATCAGTAACATTGGTCAGATTATGTGAATAGTTTATGTAAAAAGTCAAAATGAACTTATTTTAAAACGGAAAAGATCGACTACCTCTGGTATGGTGAAACTATGAAGTTAGATAGAGAGGGGAAACATTATTGTTAACATTTACTCTTTAATCAAATATGACCTATGTATACAGATTTAATTTGGAAATAGCGTCACGTTTCGATCTTTTTAAGCACCTATGCTATGACCTATCTATTGCCGATTGTCTAATGACAAGCTAATGAGCTATCGATAGGGTGTGGATATCGCATAAAATTAGATGCTACATAAAGTCATAAATGGAGTGTACTATGAATTAATAATAGAAAATTTAATTTCATGCTATAAGATAAATGTAGTATGAAAACTACTCAACTTTCAAAGAAGGGAAAGGGAATGAAACAGACGAAACAAGATCCTCCATGCACCTAGGATTAGTAATCCGTTATTGATTTCAACTAATTTATTTTGTCGAAATTTTTACATTGGTCACTATAAGAAATAAGCTATTTTGCGACAGCCAAAATTTGTTGCAAAAAATAGCAAAACCTGTCCTTTAATTTGTGACACATATATAAACAAATAAAAATGATAAATATTGATAAATTATCTTACAAAATTATCAACTCATTTTTTGATATTTTGTGTTGAATAAAACAAAGAATTGATGAATAATCGTTTTCCTCTACCATGATCAATTAATGAAATTAAAATTCTGTATTACCATAGTTTTGAAATTAATGAATGTATATACCATGCATCTTACTACAAGCTTAATTATTGACGTTAGCTAACCTAACTTGTTGAAAAATCAATATTAGAACCTAAAGTTAGCACATTAACTTTTGATACATGCTTAATTGTAAAGTCGTATGCCTCACGTAAATACTAATCTAGTGGCAAAACATTTCGTTTAGAGGAATAAGATGTTTTTACTAAATCGTGCTTATTCGAGTATGCGAACAAATTTTGTGGGGGAGACCTCAAAATCTTCCCTAGGTAAATATGTGATATGTAAAAATCTTTGTAATAAAGTATATAAACTAATCTTGAGCTTTAGTCATCAATTTAAACTCTTGATTAAATTGGTTAATTAACATGATATCAAAAGTCAACGTGACACACGGATTTAAATCTTATTCACCCTTCACTTTCAAGTAGAATATTTTGGGCTGGGTATTGGGGGGAGTTTCCATGTTGCATCCAAGTTTAAAAACAAAAGACTCTCATGTGAGGGGGCGCGATAGGGTATATATACTAATCTTGATGACCTTCAACCATTGGTTAAACGTTTTAGTTGAGTTGGTCTTCTTACACTTAGGTATCGTTTGGTTGACAATAAAAAAATGGGAAGTTGAAATTCTTAGGAATTAAAATTCTTTGGTGTTGTTTGGTTGACAAATTCATGGGAAATTGAAATTCCTAGGAAGTTTCACTTTCCCACAAAATGGAGAAAGTTAATTACATAGGGAGATTTAGGTAAGTGGAACTTCTCATGGGAATTTCCACTTCCCTTGCTTAACCAAACACACTTTGGCATTTCCTAGAAATTTCAATTACATGGGAATATAAAATTCCAAGGAATTTGCATTTCCCACATTCTACCAAACAAGCCCTTAGGATTTTAAATCTTATGCTTTTGTGAGTTTGTGAGCCAATGATTTCAAGTTGAGAGATGATTTTAGAAGCTAGATTGCACATTTGTAAAGCCTTGTTCACTTCACCTTAAAAAAATAATATTCAGTAAAATTAATTTTAATTCAATAAAAATAATTTCAATTCAGTAAAAATAAGTTCAGTTCAGCAAAAATAATTTCAGTTCAGTAAAAATAATTTCAGTTTAGTAAAAATCAGTAACTTTAAAGAAGAAATATAATAGAGAATCAGTAAAAATAATTTCAATTTAGCAAAAATAATTTCAGTTCAGTAAGATTAATTTCAATTCAGTAAAAATAATTTTAATTCAGCAAAAATTATTTCATTTCAGTAAAAATAATTTAAGTTCAACAAAAATAAGGTGAAGTGAACAGAGCCTAAGTTACATGCATTTTTTTCCTCAAAAAAAAAAATAGTTACATGCATTTATTTTTTCCAAAATGAAACTTAATAAGAAAAATATAAATTGGGTGGGTCTCAAAACGATAAATACTAAACTAAGTTTACAATAGCTATACTCCGTATAAAAAGACCTAATGGGTCTATAAGTATATTTCACTTCAATACGCCACCACCGATACAGGTATATTTTAGTCAATGTAGGGGAGGAAACAACAAGATGACACACTTCTTCTTTTTCTTTTCATTCCTTTTCCTTCATTCCTTTTTGTTTTTGGTGGCTTTCATTCTCGTTCTACTAATAGCAAACAGAGAAATTATGAACAAACAACCTTTTAGAAATTGCAAAAGGTTTTCTAGAAAATTCAAATCGAGAGGCTTCATAAGAAAGATATCCCATGTATTGGATTCCTTTATCTAAGGGAATCCGATTCCTGCTTCCAACATGAGCCACTATGTCACTACACATAGCCAAAAAGTTCATTTCTATGTCTCATGATCGACTGATTGAATTACAATTAATTGGCGTAAGTTGAATCATATGCTCCGTACCATATATATATGTAGTATGCAATTATGTGTTCGTTTATGCCTTACATACTCATTACCTTTGAGAGGAAGGCCTACTAATGTATTATGTATACATATATTATACTTCCTCGGTTCTAGTAATATTACAACAAGTGGAATTTTACACTATTCATCACGTTTGTTTGATCACATATTATGATTTATACGTTAAGTAAAATATAGTCATGTGGAGTCTTGTTAGATTCGTCACGTAAAATACTTTCACAATATTAACTTTTTATAATTTTTACTCTTATATAATTATAGATATTTAGCATATAAAATGTGCTTTGGAATACGTGATTTTATCCTTATTGCAATATTTGTGGAATAAAGGAAGTATGTATATATACATAATTGTCAGTTTAATTGATTCTCTTACAAAAAATTTGATCTTGTCAGCATGTGAATACATTATTGTGACCAATTTTGTTACAAAATAATCAATATGTGAATTGAAACTAATTATTCCATACTAAAATTATAGAAGAAAAGGAGTAACTAATAACTTACGAAGTATAAGGTTAATGGACTACTCCATCTATTATTAATTGGTTTTAAGATGGAGCCTTGTTAAATTTGTCAAACTCTCCTCCGACGTGCGCTTCTATATGATCCTTTAAAGTTTATCAAAGTCTTACAGAGATTAAAAAGTATCATTTCTTTTGTTTTACTATCTCAATCACTTTCATGCTGGCTAAGACGTTAACCATTTTTCACATATTTAGCTTAGCTTAGGCCCTATTATTGACACTAACTAGTTTCTTCAACTTTTTGATTCATGAATGTGTAACGACAATGATACCACTTTGACTAGAATATTACGAAGTATGACGACTGGGTAATTTAATAGGAGTAGTTACAATGAATTTAAATGTAATTTTGTATAACAAATTATAAGTGTGATACTTTCTCTATCCCATTAATTTCAATATCGATCTATGTACAATTGTACAAAGTTTTATTACTACTCCGTAAGAATAATTTATGGTAGAATTATCCATCCATACATTTTTGTATTGAAA